AAAAAAAAAAAAAAAAAAATTATTAAGAAACTATATAAATCTTGGAAGAATAGCTTCCGTTATTAAATACAAGTATTAAAGTACTAAGTATTAAACAATTATCAGACTCGTTTCTTCTGTTTCTATCCATTGTTTTTCACGAAACGTGTTGTCATCCTATTTTTTGTTCTTTTTTCTAATAATACAAAATGTACTGTTACTTTTTTTCTAATAATACAAATGTACAAAACACTGTTTAATTTTGATAAAAGCACCACGGAAAAACGTATAAAAGGAAGGTTTTCTATCATTTGTTCGATGAAAAGAAGTTTAATTAATTTTCAGAATGTAACTTAGCTACCTTCTTGTAACTGGTTCACGACCGATCCAAAGCTCAAAAGTCTGAACGAGGAAGAACCAAGAGACAACTTTCGAACAAATTTCCCCGAAATCCGACACGTGGATCCACGCGAGCTTTTGCTTTTTTTTTTGCCTGCAAAAGGTAGGAAGCTTCGATAATAACTCACGGTTAACGCACTTTCACGCGGTTTCGGATCGCTGTGCAGCCTTTGGTTATCGCGATGCACACGCCAGATACATCGCGGCTTTATCGGCGCCGGGCCTGCTGCCTATCGTTCGTATTTCATCGTTCCAAGAGTACGCAAACACTTTGCCGCGAGCGGCTAAACGGGGAGTGACAAACGCAGGCCGCATCGTAGGCATCGTCAGGTGGCTTTATTCGGGTGATTACAGCACGATCGGCGAGTAACGCGCTTTATTATTATGCGCCCCCCGTACCACGCTCGCCGCTCGGCTTAATGTCTGTAAAACACGTAGGCGCCGCTATCGCGAACGAACGATCGTTCGATATATCACGCCGCGATGGGAATTCGAACGATGTCTGACACGAGATTATCCCGCCGAATTTTTCGCCAATTATAACTTCCAACTTCCGTGCACGCCTCCTCCCTTCGATCCATTTGTTCTTCTCGTCGTACGATTCACTCGTTCCTACCGTTCCCTTCTCGCAGAGTGAAGAACAAAATTCGGGGAAAAAAGCATTCGTAAAGTTTCTGACAGTTTTTGTTGTTATTTGGTTATTCGTATTATTACGTTATACCACGTTCTAGTGCCACTATTTGAATAAATGTGTTAGATAGCGCTTCCTTGAAGTAACTGTGTAGAAATATATGTAAATAAAAGTAAATAAATTAATAGCTGTCTATTTATGCAGTTTTTAAATTTAGGTTAGGTTTAGGTTTAATTGAAAAGAAAGTAATTAGGAGAGGAAGCTTTAATATGACTCGCTACAATCAAAATCGAGCGCATTGTAAATCGACCAAATTCTTGATGTAATTATGTGGAAGTATCTGTAAATCAAAATAAATAAAGTAAAAACTGCCTATTTGTGCAATTTTTAGACTTAGATCCAGCTTAGATTTAGGTTATGTTTAGGTTTAAGTTAGGTTATGTGATATAGATTTAATTGGAAAGAAAGTCAAATTTATGTCAGGTTAGGTTTAAGTTCATTAGGTTTAATTGAAAAGAAAGTAATTACAAGAGGAAGCTTCAATATGACTCGCTATAATCAAAATCGAGCATTGCAAATTGACCAAATACTATTCACACACGAAATCTGAACAGCGCAATAGCGCTTTCTTGATGTAACTATGTGGAAGTATCTGTAAATCAAAGTAAATAAAGTAAAAACTGCCTATTTGTGCAGTTTTTAGATTTAGATCCAGCTTAGGTTTAGGTTAGGTTTAGGTTTAAGTTAGGTTATGTGATATAGATTTAATTGGAAATAAATTTATGTTAGGTTAGGTTCATGCGATTTAGATTTATTTCAAAAGAAAGTAATTAGAAAAGGAAGCTTCAATATGACTTGCTATAATCAAAATCGAGCATTGTAAATTGACTATATAAATGCTATTCGCACACGAAATCTGAACAGCGTGATAGCGCTTTCTTGATATAACTATGTGGAAGTATCTGTAAATCAAATTAAATAAAGTAAGAACTACCTATTTGTGCAGTTTTTAGATTTAGATCCAGCTTAGATTTAGGTTATGTTTAAGTTTAAGTTAGGTTATGTGATATAGATTTAATTGGAAAGAAAGTCAAATTTATGTCAGGTTAGGTTTAAGTTCATTAGGTTTAATTGAAAAGAAAATAATTAAGACGGGAAGCTTCAATAATCGAAACTGAGTGCATTGTAGTATTTCGACCATCGCGACCAAACCAAACTGGCATTATCCGTAAACGAAATTTGAATGCATGGCACTAACCATTAAATTAAATGTATTGTCAAAGAGAACGGATTGCCGGAAACAATGACGATCAAGTATTTTCTATTTCTTCCAATCTCAACGAGATTCGATTATTTCAAACAAACGTGGAATAATCCCCTGTTCGCCCCTGAATTCGACAGACAGTGTCAAACGAGCGTCGTCATTCGTCATACCTTAACGCACGTTGAAAACGCTTTCGCGGTGAGTTTGAGAGCGCGAGACAGTTCGAGAAGCGTCAAATAGCAGGCATCGCGATCGATATTGCGTCCGGCAGCGTTGGCAAAACCGGTTCCCCTTATCCCTCACAAGACATTAAACATCGGCGACACGAGCCTGGCCATTAAAGAGCGACGACACGGGGAATCCTAATTATTCAATCAAGGGCTCGTTACCTTTCTTGCGCGTGTACGTCTCGCGAAGCGTGAAGTCGCTTCTCCGAGAAGTCGCGTGCGCGTTTCCAGCAAGTCGATCGTTCGTCCCTTCCTCGAAGAAAAGAAAAAAAGGAAAGAAAGTAAGAAGGGATCGAAGACTCCTCTCGTTGCAAGACACGCGGAAAAAATGAAATCTTGCTGTCCGTGGCTAGTTTTATCATTCAGCACGCGTCAGGCGGTGTTTATTCACCTTGTTTACTCGCGTCTCGCTCGGTACTTAAACGGAGGATGACATGTTCCCGGAGTTCCCCGCTGTATATTTTCCTCGACGACGACCGTGACATTAACGTCTCGGGGGCAGCGAGATTCGTATCGGCGATATAAAAGGCAGAGTCGCGTGGCGACTCGTTGGCATACGAGCCGGTCGGTTGCTGAAATTTCGCGGAACATGAGAGCCTCGCTCGGAACGATAATCTTGGCGACGTGTTTGGCCGCCTGCATAGCGATCTGTCGTCCTGGATTGAACGGACGGGAAGATTGGTACCACTGCGAGGGATTAAGCGATTTAAACGTGAGAAATTGCTGCTTCTGTTGACTATCTTGTTAGAGAGATGGCTCGTCACTCCAGTCGCTGCCATTAGACCAGTTTCTTCGCTCTTTTTGTTTGATTTAATTCTCGGCGTATGGAGGCGGGAAATTTTCCATCGCTTGCTCTTCTACGATTACAGAGTGATAACTATTAGGTCGTTCTCCAAGGTCTTTGTTTGTCAGTTTTCTCCCGCAGAATGGTAATTAAAAAAATACTTTAACTGGATCAAAATAACTAGAGATTTTCATTTACAATTACAATTGCACGCCTAGTTTTTCAGCAATAACTTCTTGTAAAAAAAGTTATGTATTTTAGAGCTTCATCGTACGTAGAAACAATACGCTTATTTAGAAACATTAATAATTACTGTGCGAAAATAAAAAAGAAAACGAAAATTTCATAGTCGGGAAAGCAATTTTTCAGAATTTCACTTTTTGTTAGTTTCATCGATCACAAAAGTAACCAAACTAACTAAACTTGATGGCTAAAATAACGCAAAAGATCAAACTGAGAGAGCAAGGAACTATCGTAAGAAGAAAACGTGAAAATAAAAAAAGAAAAAAAAAAAAAACAGCAGTTGCAGATACCAGTGGGGGCAGCCGGGATCGATATCGTCAACTCGAGCATCAGTAAGATAAGGACTGGCGCGTTCTCCGAGTATTCCGACTCGCTGACAGAGCTGAACATAACCGGATGCGGCGTGGAGGAGATCGAGCCGGACGCTTTCACGGGTCTTAATAAATTGCGAGTGTTGGGCCTGGTGAACAATAAGATCCGGAAGATCGATGCCTCCTGGATCAGGGGATTATCGAGTTTGAAGGCGTTAATCCTGTGGCGTAATCGGATCGTCGATATAGATCCGGCGATTTACGATCTGCTGCCAGAGCTGCGGGTTTGGGATATCGCGTACAACGAGCTGAACACGTGCCTGTCGCCGGACTTGCTGAGGAAGCTGAAGAACCTCCGAAGAATCTTAATTGCTGGCAATCCGTGGTCATACAGATGTCGCTCCTCGATGACTTGGTACTTGGGCAGCAATCACATTCGTTTCATCAAAGATTGGAGCATCAGCGACCTGTTAATAGAGGAGTGCTTGGCTCATGAGCCTGGCGCGGAAGAAGACGACGTCGCTTTGCACAAATGCGTCGACAGAAGAATCGGGTCGGCCGATACGTTGCCGTACAGCGTGGGCGAGTTGAACGAACAAGTTCGCGAACTTACTCGGAAGATTTCTGGCTTGCAAGCTGACGTAGCCGCGCTGAAAAAATCGAAGATCTAATCGTAACTCGATTACTTAACGATTGTACTTGTCTGTAGAGTTTTATTATTTGAGCGAAAATTGGAGAGAGTAGTAGATGAGCTCGACGGGTTTTTGCTCTTTTAGACATATAATAGAGCTTCACTGCTATTATATTATGATTAATAATCGTGTAAATTAGGTACGTATTTTGTACGTATGTTGTAATATAAGACCGATATTGTACTCAACCAATCTCGTACACACTGTTTCGTATTAAGCATCGATAAAACAACATTTGATACACAGTGTAGCAGATTCGCAAGAAGCACTATCTACACGACGAACGCTATGTATCTGTGTCCAAAGTTGAACAGTTTCCCCATATTAATACATCCTTCGGTACAAAAGATTCCCGGTCACGTATCACCGGTCCATTAATAACACGATCCCATCGAGCGAATTGATCGCGACGGACACTGCTTGCGGTGCAGTCTACGTCCACGTAGCTCATCGCCCTCACTGTTTCATCCTCCATTTCCCGGCGAAAAAGTGCTCGGTTGAAACGAGCAGTTCCCAGGTCTTTGGGAAACATCGGCGGTGCGTATCGCTCGCGGAACCGTTAATATCTAAACACGTAAATCACAATGGCACGTCATACGCGCGAACCGCGTTAAATCACGATGCGTCTAGTAGCTGATCCACGGATCTCTCCGCCGATTCTCTCCGCGGTGGGACAAGAACATTCCGACTCCGGTTAGCCGCCATTCATCACACGGCGGCGGCGGCGGCGGCGGTGGCTCGGTTGAGAGAGAAAAAAAGGACAAAAAAAAAAAATGCGTATCGTACACGCGGACGGATCACGCTGGCGCACGCTCGTGAGATCTTTGACGCGGTTTCCGCGGTCATTAATAACGCTGCTCGAGGCGGCGAGCCGCGCGAAAAAATAGCGGACCCTTGGGGGTGGGAGGAGGGCGCAACGAACCCGCCACAACACGGAGGAGGATATATCAGGCCAGCTGCGAAACCAGCAGCAGTAGACAGTCCCGACGCCGATGTGTGCGCAACTGTCCGTTGCAAACGGTGCTTAACCGTTCACCCTGTGGCTCGGTTGCGCACCGCCGCTGCCGCCAACGTGCTCGCCCCGATAAGTAAGCCCCGTATCGGCTTCGCCTCCGCTAACGAGACCCACGTCGCGAATCTCCGGGGCCAATCTACCGGCTCTACCGACAGGGTAGAGCCTTTTCTTTCAACTCAGTTTCCCAATCAAACGCCCAGGGATTGGGAATTGGGGATGGTAATCGGTCTCCTCGATCCTTCCTTTTTCTTCCACGATCTTGCAAGCTGACGTTATTTCCGGAACGTACGAAACGAACGTTTCGTTGGTCGATCTTTGACTTTGACACGTAGCACAGGGGATACACCGACGAAATTTCTCGTCAGCGGGCGTTTCTCAGAAAGTCTGTCGAGGCAATCGATACGCCGAATTGCGCCACGTTTTAACCCTTTCGCTACGGGCCGATTTTTCGGCGCGCTACTCTCACTGAACGAGCCGCTTTCACCCGAAACAGTGAAAAATTATCACATAATACAATTAGAAAATATAATTTAATCATGTAATTTCGTATGAAAAGTTTCAAAACACGGGCATATACTATAGTAACCGATCGTAGCGAAAGGGTTAACTTCCCAAGTAGAATAGGGGCAGCACTAAACATTAATGTTGAAGCGAATATTATTTTAGTAGTATTAAGTTCTTTACTGTGGAAAATTTGGAGGTTTAAACATTTCGATAAATATTCGAACTATTGTGATACAAATGTGAGTATCACGATTGTTATTCTTAATTCAAATTATTGTAACGTAACATCTAGATAAAAATAACTTCATGCTTTCTTTTCCCTTTAACCCTTTCGCTACGGGCCGATTTTTCGGCGGAAGATCTGCAATATCGCCGGTAGAAAGGAAACAGTGAAAAATTATCACATAATACAATTAGAAAATATAATTTAATCATGTAATTTCGTATGAAAAGTTTCAAAACACGAGTATATATTATAGTAACCGATCGTACATAACGAGCATCAATCGTTGGGTGACTATAGTCACCGCTCGTAGCGAAACCAACTTTTTTCGTAGTTAAATCAACGTTATTTGTTTATTCGTATTCTGCGTTGACTCAGTTAGTGCACGTACTGGAAATTTAACATTATAACTTTAAGCTTTATTTCGTATAATATATCTAATGCGTCTGCTTTCTTCTGTTACGTTTCTCCTACACACAGTTGCACTATTTGCGCGCCTTTTCATTTACAAGGGTACCAAGTGAAATAATCACGATTTAAATAAATGACCGACGGAGGATGTAATTGTTGAATTAGAATTCGCTTACGTTTGATTCAAGTGAGATTTGCAATTATTGTCGATAACATTTGCCGAGCGCCTACAGGCGCTTTCAGCGGGTCGAAGTAAGTTGAGCGCCTTTAGGCACCGACAGTATCACGAAAGTAAATTTTAAAAGCGCCTTTAGGCACCGACAGTAGCCAAAGGGTTAATTAGATAGAGTCACGCTGTGTTAGAGCAGGAACGTTAAACATTCCCGAGCGTTGAACATTCTTTCTTGTCGCGTTCTATTTTCGAACATATATTTACTGATCATATTTTAGGAGATCAAGAGCCTGTTTTTTGATAAAAAGACACCTTCAATGTTCTAGAAACGTCTGGAGCGGTTCGCGTTGCCAGGCAAATATGATTGGCCAGGACGAACTAGTCAGTTCGTATAAAACAAACTCGCTCGGTATAAAACAGGCGCAAAGTGATCATCGAGGAAGAATCTCGCCGATAAGGACAAAGTAGATTTCCCGAAGTGGCGCGATTCAGACAGGACTGATGCAGAGTTCGCAAGATCTCACTTTCCCAATGAATACCCAATGAATCAAACTCGACCGTACGACCACTACAGTAGCACACGCTCGAGTTTATCTGCTAAACGCGACTCATCAAAATCTCTTCCAACTTTGCGTGCGTACGTTTACAACGAACGTTCTCTCGCTGTCTGAGAGAAAAAAAAAGATTCGCCGGTCGGTCGGCGATTGAAATCGGTTTCCACCTCGGTTCTTTCCATTCGTATTTAATCAGACGGCGCTGGCGCATCGCGAGTTCCCTCGCGGATGCTATTGTAGCGCGAGGAAGGCGAGCACGGTAGGCGCACGGTAGGCAAAGACCTTAGGAAAAGGATATTGTTCCACCTCCTGCACGGAGAGAAACTGCTCGCAGCCCAGTGATTTATAGAGAGGATCTTGCGCGCCTCGTGCTGCACCGGCATCGTTCAGATCCTCCTCCTCGTCGTCGTCGTCGTTGTCGTTGTCTTCGTCGTCTTTGGACGCCAGAGTCGTGGCGCGGCCAACCATTCTCCGTATGCAGAGTGCTCCAGTTCCCACGCAGCCGGGGCTATGCACTCTCTCGCGCGTGTTCTCCAGCCGCTGCCAGCCATACCGAGTGTTGCGCTCCGTCTCGCCGTTGCACCGCTTCTATGCGCTCCTGTTACGCACCCATCCTGCTGCAACAACCGCTGCTGTTGTAACCCAGTCCGGGTATATTAGCATCTCCTCTCGAACCATTCGCCTTTTGCGCACCAGGAAACGCAGCTTGTTACTCCGTCCTGTTCTTCAACGCATTGTTCGCCCGGCATTTCGTTCAAAACGCAACCTATCCTCATTCCCGCGTTTTTAAACTTGAAATTTACAAGCATCTCGAAACTGTCGATTTACACGGAATTGCGGATTTGTTGCTTTAATTTTCGGAGCATCACGAAATTAAATAATTGTGCGCAATTTTTCGTCTCTGACGCTTCTCTTTTTTCCCATTTTTTTCCTTTCTTTTTTTTTTTTATGGATTTCGGTGTGTGTTCATCGTCGCGCCGGTGATCGTGATTTACTTTACATTGTGCCCGGTTAGTGGTAAATCATGTTTAATAAGCTATAAGTTACGCTTTTGCCTTGGCTTATATTTATGATATGTTGATCCTTATCCGAATGATGTACATTAACGATCGAACCGAGAAATCTGTGTGTGTACACGGGATCGGCGAGTCGGTATCTATCCTAGAGCGTCGAGAGGGTACGCGCGGTAGGCAAGTAACCGCTTATCTGACAGAAACGTATCAAATGCAAATATCTTATGGTAGACGTGTTCGCGAGTACCCGAACAACCAGCAACTGAAACAACGTGATTTATTCGGCCATGCTTTTTTCCTTTCTTTTTCGCGCGCGCGATCTTGCTAGATAAATACACAGTTGGTAGATTCGATACGGTGTAACACGAATATTTCCATCTCTCGCGTATTAGCAAACGTATTGAAGTGGCAGAAGATTACGAAACGCAGCGAAGTTTTAAACGGCCGGAGCTTAAGCGAGGTTAATTGAATCTGGACTTTGCTAATTATCGAAGCTCGGATAATTACTTTCGAAACTATATTTTCGCTAAACTATGTATCGTGTCTATCGTCGGACTATCAGCTCTCTCGGTCTCTCGGAATCCCGGCAATGGAACTATACATATTTTCATGATCACTAATTGATCGTTTGCGATCACGTATTTCGCAACATGTTCCACGAACGAAGTATACTCAAGCAGCATTTTATCAAGCTGGATTTTTTTCAAGCCGGTGGCAAATGTCACGTCCGACATGAATAATCTGTTATTGATAACGCAGAAACGGAGAAACTATACAAGGTGTCTTGTATGAAACTATTTTCTCTTAAACAACTCCCTCTAAAATGCTTCAAATAAAAGCTTAAAGCTTGTTTCGAGATGGACGTTTTAAAAATTTTACCTAAATGGTTCGGCTTCCGAGGCTTATTTTTCATTTCTTTAAATAAAACTGTATATTTTTGAATTCACTGTCTGTGTAGCTGTCGTTAAGAATCGAGCGACCTGGATAACATTGTTCCAAGGTCGTGCAAGGTCATTTAACGTCGTTCCAGAGATTGTCATTTATCCATAACGTTCGAAATGGATGTCGATACACTGATTTATTCTTACATCACACATAATTTCTCTTCTGTAAAGTTTTCTAAAGAATCAAGTGTTTCGGGAAAAGACCGCTACTTCCCATTATGTGAAAAATCGTCTGAGGGACAAATTACATCCGAAATATTAGAAAGGGTGCAACTGTCGTTTAGGGACAGAGAATGGTCAAGGTCACCGATTGGTGAAAAATCTCTAGATGCTCAATGCTTTGAGCGGTTAAGTGGCTTTGAATGGCCTTGGAATAGCAATGTCATCCAGGTTGAATTCATTTTGACGTCAGCTACAAGATTGTGAAGCCAAAAATATAACACTTCACGTATTCAAGAGAAATAAAGAAATCTCGGAAGCGTGACAAGATTCGTGGCCCCTGTAAGATGTCACCCTTGAAACAACGCAAGTTTCATTCGAAAGATTTTCCTCTATAGCGAGTAGTAGGTTGCTAGCGAAGAAAATTGCGTGGATAGCTTTTCACAGTGTCGACACAATATCACTTTACGTAAGAGGAAGGCTCAACTAACGACGAATAATCGACGATGGAAGCGGAATCAATCGGTAGCGAGGAGATAGCATTCGGAGTCTCGCGGATGTCTTGCAAGCTGGAAAATTGCAAAGCGCGAAAAAGGGAGCGCGGTGACGGGTGCTCGCGGTATCAGCGCGGGATCGTGGCGCGTCCTTCTCCTCCTCACCGGCGAGCCCTTTATTCCCGGCCATTCAGGCCTTTCAGCCGTCGGTTCACAATGCACCGACGAAAATGTCAAATCAACGTGCGCGGGCGAGAGAAAGACCAAAAAAA